GTAAAATCAATATCTCCAGAAGATTGAAAGAATCAGACCTTCGTGGGGCAGTCAAATAATTAATTTAGCCTATCACTCTATTTGAGTTTCAAGATTAAGTGTATGATCAGTAGATAACTCAACTATCAATGGGATATCTTATTAAATGAAAACCCGGAAAAAGAAGAGGTGTTTTAAGTGAAGTAGGAATAAGCGTTTTATAGTGAAATTTTGCTGTTTATTTCCTACTTCATTGACATGATAACTGGAATATGTAATTTTCTATCAGATTGAATTATTTCTCATCCGGTTACTGTTTTTGAATTTATACTGGACTGAAAATAAGTCACGAAAATTATGGATTTAATGAAAATTACCTTCTTTTATTACCAATGATTAGAACTATTCCTGATATTTAGTAATTTAAATGGTATTTCAATTTCTCATTAATCATTTTTTATAATGCTTTGAAGTTTGCTTCGTCAGCATTCAAATGAACTATTTATTTTATAACGGTTTCTATTTTTAACTTAAATCAATTGCATTTAATAATTCCTTGGTGCCTTAAAAACTTGAGCCATAATTTAACGAAGTCAAGTAAATATATCTCGGTTCAACTGTACACTCGTACAATATATCTTACATACTTCACTAATACATAAACTAACTTTGTGGTTTTTGGCACAATGCTCGTTCTAACTCCAGCAAAATAATTCGTAGGATGAACTCCGTTGTATTAAAATTTTAGCAATTTTGTATTAAATATTAATTAATTGTATTTTACTTATATACAACTGTATTTAGGGGAAAAAACTAAACTGGGTGTGCATTATTGTAACACAATGAATTCCGTGATTTCGATTTTGAACACATTGGAAGAAATAGTAAAAATAATAAAATGGCATCTTTCGTCGAGTTTTAAAGAGAATCAATGTAGTATTTATTCGCTTCGTTAATTAAAATTTCTGCCGTTTATGAAGAGGAGTTTAATGTTTCGGTTCTAATATTTTGCAAATTATTAAAATAAATTTGTGGCAAATTTTCCGTCTTATTCTAGATTTTGTCATAAAGTGTCTAGTCCTCTCCACTCCTCCTCGTGTGATCGGAAAACTTGGCAAGTAGCCATGCACAACAACTTAGGGTCGATTCTATTTTCAGATTCACTTGTCTACTATTTTTGAGATATCCATAAGCAGTTTTATGTCAAAATATAAAAATAAATTATTTAAATGACGACCACTAAGTCTCCCAACTCCAGAAGACAAATAATTCAAATGGAGCAGTAATAATGAACGGGTCAAATATTATCGACGATTTTCTGAAAGTTAGAAGTTGCGATATTTAAGAAACACTTTGAAAGGCATTATTATTAAAACAATTCAAAACTTGGTCTGACGAGATATCTATGTGATATCTAAAAAATAAAAGTAAATTAATTTTAAACGTATTCACCTATTAAATATGCTATTTAAACTGTATTTAAGGGCTAAATCGACTTAAAAAGGCTTCATACAACGTTAAATAACTTTTTTATTTTCAGCCAGATTCACCAAATGCTGCTTAGTCAATAAGTTGGTTCTTCACTGTAAGTGAGTTAGTAAAATATTTCTGCATTAAAAGCAATAGAGTTTAATTTGTGCTAATGGCCGGCTAGCTATTACTATTTTCAAGGGCATTCGAACACTGCCTCAAAGCGAATATCAGCAAACACACAGCAAAATAGATTGGAACAATTGCAATTAAACTAATTATCACCAAGCCCAAAGGAAAAAAGCAAAGCTCTACACTCCCTCTGGAAGGAGCTAAACGGTAATAGGCTGTGAAATGATCGACAAAAAAGGAAAGAAATGCCATCTTTTATGAGTGGTGGCCTAAAATTCTCGCCTTCCAAATCCATTTTTATAAGTCAATAGGAATGGCGTTATAATGTTTAAAACGATATGTATTTGAACTTTATCATGATAATTTCCTTCTGAAATCTTGCATGCTTATAATTTATCTTGCTAGATTTGGGACAATTTTCATATTCGAATAAGTATTTCCTGTTGCCTATGTTATTTTAATAAAATATCTAATTTTATTCGAATTGCTTTTAGAATCCTCTTAATAAGCCATGAATGGAGTCATGATAATCATTAACTGGGAACAATATTTTAAAAACTTAATTGTCAAGACGGAATATCTGTTTTGCATATCCTGTACTATGATTTAAGATAACTTTTTTGTCATAATGGGTAGGATTTGTTGAAGATCTCTCCACAATGATTAATGAAGCAGCAAATATATTCATTCTGACATTTCGTCAGAATGTAATCAATTCTTACATAAATCTATTCTACCTAATCCAAATGGGAGTGGCAAAATAACAAAGGGGTTCTTTGTATATTCAAAGGCAAAATCTAACCGCCAGAATGCTAGATCTCTTCTAGCTCTGTAAGTTGGAACGGCTACAGCGCCACAATTGAAGCGAGATGGAAATCATAGCTTCATTCCAGCGTCCCACTAATACTTAATGTCCGAATCAATACGAATACCTTTTCATGAAGGCGAAATACCGTCATTATATTTTGAATCAGTACTTAAAATTTCTACCTATTGTTTTCTGAATTGAATTAATCGCAAAATAATCTTTTTTGCTTTAATAGTGATGCGACCATTCGGAAAATAATAATTTAAAGAAAAGGAATTGACTAATGCTTTGAGAAATGAATGTCAAAATGTTTGGCACTGACAATTAATTAGTGCATAAACAAGAGTGTTACGTTTTGCATTTTAGCACTGCAATTCCTTTTAATCAATTCCCTGAGGTTCTAAAGTTTTTTTGCTATTTAAAATTTCTAATTCAATTTAAGAATACTTTAGCATTTTAAATTTCAAAGAACAAGCAAATAATTTACTTGAAATAATAGGGTCACACACTTCCCGTTTAAGTTGTAAAACGTTTTGTCGTAAACTCCAGTTTACCATACAAAACAACAATTTTGACATTCATGAGCTTTTGAACTGGCCAATATCGACACTTCATTATTTAATTTAATTACTTAACGAGTGGGTTTTAACGATGTGAATTTCGATTGAATATCATTTCGAAAATGAATTTAACCAATGATTCGCTCGTTTATGAGAAATCTTCTATTGATTTTAAGTTAAAGACATTATTATTAGTAATACTCAAAGCAACGCATACAATTTTAAATGCCTTTTATTGCTGAAAGGGGAGTGGGTTAAACGGAGCATATAGATGCTGTTGCTTTGTTTGATTTACTGATTGACATTTTGAGAGTATACCCATTAGACAGATCACGATGTCATGCTGAAAAATACAAATTTCCTATTTCATTCTCAAGGATTGCTGGTCAGATGCATATAAAATATCTCCTGGCCCTGCTGACAAGCTGTTTTTAATAACTTGGAAGTCTGCCTTTTTATTCCAACTCATTTCATTTCTAATGGTTGAAATAGTGACGTCATCTCAATTGATCTCAAGCTGTTTACATGTTGTCACCATGTTTAAACGAACATGGGTAGCCTCCCATTCAAGCACTCCGTGTGTTCACTTGTAGAAGGAAGCATTTTGTGAAATGTGCCACTGCGAATTACTCCAATCATTTTTTACCTTAATAACTACATATACGTAATTTTTGGCTCTTATTGCCAACTAACTCAAATTCTTTTACATGTCCATAGCTAAACATTTTCATACACTAGGAAAAAAAAATAATACGACTTTTGTTTTTACCAATGGAGAATGTCATGCATTTGAAGCCTGTATTTGCAGCTAATTCGGCTGAATTATTTAAAAATAAAAAACTTTTGATTTTTACATCCACTGTTTATTTTTATTTGCAAATTAATTTCTTTAAATTAAATTTTGAAAAATTAAACCGATTTATTTTCGCTAAATTTTGACAACTATTGCGCAATTGATTCACCCTATGCTTGAGCTAAAAGATATCATCTGTTTGTGGCAGAGCACAGTCGATTCAAAATTTTGTCATTTTTCATTGAGATCTGCTGCTGAAGAATAATATTATCCATTAAAACAGAAATTCCACTTCTTAAATCAAGGGGACTGCACCTGACCATGGGTATAACAAATTGGTTCATATTGAAATTAAACAATGTTTTCCAATGGGAAAGCTAGCTGTTGATTTGAGTCCATGAGACGATGTGTTCACAACTAATATACCCTTCGTCCGAATTATAGTTTCTTGAACAGCGCAGACGAAATGATATATGCGTCCCCTCATAAAACTAGTGGCCGTTCTAAGGCTAATTGAAAGCAACAATTTTATTGAACGAGAAGGGCGAAATTTGGGTTGGTTAAACATGGATTTGCCAAATTTTGGTCAATGAAGTCGGGTAATTAGTTGAAGAGGAGTAAAACGGGACGCCAATATGCAATGGGCTTGTTCCAAGCGTGTCAAGTAGATAGAATCCCTACGATAAGGTATTTAACCGATTCCACCTTCTCTGCACCTTGATAACTGGGCAACAATAATGACTTTACGATGTCACGAGTTGTTTGGTATTCAAATTCTAGAACCATTAAATTGTTCATATTCTCATTATAAATATACAATTTATTCAAATTTTCTAAAAACAAATTTCATCTATTTTCTTTCTGTGTTTTGGAAGCGCTCTTATCTGAAATATTCAACTTTTACCTACCAGGTTTTTATACGGAAAGTTTTTAATCAATTGACGTAGTAGAGCTCAATTGTTTCATTTAAATTCGGGGATAATCATTCAATTTGTTAACTAAAATATTCATATCCATTACTATTATTAATTGTAACTCAAAAAATGAAACTTTATATACATACATTTATATATAATTATATTTGAAACAGTAAGATTTTCATGCTTGGTACATACTGAATTATATTTTCAAAAAAGAACTATTATCATTTTCAAACTGTCAAAATTTTCAATTGCTCAATATTATATGTCGAGCATTACGTATGCTGACCTTTAAAGAAGGAAAAATAAATGAACAAAGATGTATTTAATTGTGGAAAATGTGGTATGATCTCCGGTTGCAAATTTTCCAGAGTTCTCAAACCAATGAGAGCTCAGTAACCCAAGTACAGGTAAAAGCCAATCAGAGATGTGTTTCGGGAGAAGTATAAAAATCCCCCCCCTTACTAAGTGTCCTTAAGAGACCTTGACTACCGTGTGCTCTTAGTTGATAATTAGTTGTGTCCACAAGTAACACACTCCGTGAAATGCATCAGAGTGGTGCAAAAGGAATGTCAGGAAGACGTAAAAGGGGAATAAGTATATCCTCATCCTCCTTCCCATCAGCCTGCTTCACAATCTCTCCCATTTCCACATTTCATATCTGTCTGTTGTGTGTGGTCTTCTTTTCCTCTCAGATTCTCGTGGTTGAAGGAGCTGTAGGAAGACCCAGAAAGTCTATCTACTATGCTTTACCACACACTGGTGTCTTTCCTCATCGGTTTGAATACGGTCATCAAGATTCATTGGATCGACACTTACTCCCCAAACGCGATTTTTCGATTTCGGACAGTTGGGATTTAGACGACGACGACCTTATTGAAGACGATGATCTTACAGAAGCCAACGATGCGGTTATGGCTTCTGCGAAAACCGCTCTTACAGAGGAAGAGGCCCAAAAGTATTTGGCTCAAATGAAGGCTTATTATCTAAAAAATGGCATGCCTCGGTAAGAATGATGAAAATTCTCCTTCTTCCATTAGGTATACAGAAATAGAAATTCTGATAAGCTATGCGTCATTTAAGAGGAACAATTTATTCTATGTTTCTTGTAATTAAGAGGCAATGTTTTACCTACTAAACAGGTGGTTTGGTAGGGCGCTTAAGATAGATAGTAACAAATAGTTAAAATTTGAAAATCGGCGCCTTAAATAGAAATTGAGAAAAAATATCTTCAAATTGCGACTTTGAATTACAATTTACGTTAATTTAATTACATAACCAAAATCTTTTAAATTTACTTCAATGGTAGGCTGAATTAAGATTTGCAGATTTAGTTTTTGCATACAACTGAATGAGATTTTTCTCTCGATTGCTATGGGTGCTAGTCTATTCACACCCTGCGATACTCGGTTTTCTACTGTCGTAAATTAATGAATTAGTGGATATTTGGGGAGGGGGGGGGGATTCATAAAAGCCATATCTAGATTAGGCGCTCTCACGAAACGCTATGAAGGGCGGAAATGTATCTTGATGCGAAACTAGTAATTCCTCTTATTAAAAGCTTTCAATTTCTTTCTATTTTAGATTTGGATGACTGATATAACAATTTGAAAATCGTTGTGTTTATGCATTGTGGTGTGTCAATATAAAATTCCTAACAATTTGAATTACTGGTGTTTTGGAATGAGCACTTAATCCATGCAGCATTTGAACTTAAAAGTGGGAAAAAATAATAAAAATTTAAATTTATAACACCTCAATATATATTTCAAACGAAACAGACCAAAATAGTAATGCAAATTTGGATATTCATTAGAGGTTTTAAGCTTCATAAGGGCTAGTATTAAGTAGATTTAGTTAGCAAAGTTACAGTTTCTTATTGTCCATTTCATTATCACGATTTAAATATTATTTATTTCAAATGACAGGCGTCTTGATAATGATCATTAACCCTTTAGCTGGCTTCGGGCTTCACAGAGGGGAGAAACATCAAAGTGGGAAAAATTCGAGAGGAAGGATAGAAAATTGATTCAGAGATGTAGGAGAGACAAGCAGGTAGACAGACACAAAGGTAGAGAAAAGCTAAGTTGAGTATTGTGGAGTGGTGTAATATGACATAGTGTCGGGTCGTAGTAGTTAGAAGTCAGAAGTCAACTGCCAGTTTATAGACTATCTTGCCGTATGAGCATACATTGCCCAGGGTTCACCACGTGGAGGTAAGTCTATCGCACACCCCACGATTTAAATATAATGATAGATAAGTTCATATATAACAGTTGTCACGTGAAAAATAAGTTAAGCATTAAGATTTCCATTTTGTAAAGTAATGCTGTTTACATCTCTCTTTCTCTCTCACTGATCCAAACTTCTTCAGAGGCACTTGAAAGGTTCATTTCCGCTGGAGACTAATTCATCAATACTAAATGACAGGCTTCATGTTAGTTATCATTAGTCTTTTAGTTGACTTCAGGTTTCATAGAGAGGGAGAACATCAAAGTAACAAAGTCCAAAAGGGTGGAACGGTAAGAGTGATTCGCAGATGTAAAAGTGGCAGACACAAAGATAGAGAAAAGGGCAAGATGAGTACTGTAGAAATGGTCGAATATGGCAAACAGTTGGGTCATGTTATTTTGAAGTCAGCTGCCGGTTTATAGACTATCTTGTCGAATGGGCATACGTTGCCCAGGGTACACCACGGGGAGGTAAGTCTATCGCGCAGCCCTCCCCCCTGCTGGAGAATGTCTCGAAAAAATTGATGCCAATTGCACTAATCTTCATGAGCAGAGAGCAGAATTCTAATCTTCCTCCATATCCACATATTTCGCAGTCCATTTCTAAGTTGCCTGATAACAGAACAAAGCTAACTTCAGAAATTGCTTGTGATTTTGAAGACTGGGTGGTTAGGCAACTCCCATCTCCGTTTGAGTGCAGCACTTAGCTGGAGTAAGCAAATATATACAGCTTTGAAGTCGACTAAAAGTTTTGCTTTAGTGGGGCAAAAAATACCACCATGTTTATCACCTTAACTGCCATTTACGTGGTAAGTTAACACTAATATAAACTTTGAAGTTTATTATTTAAAATTAAAACTGTGTTTATTGCTAATACCATAATTCATAATCTTAATAGTTGGGCTAGAGTGGATGAGTAAGAATCCCGCTACATTGGAATGTAGGGGCACAAGGGAAAAAACCTTGCATTTTCATATATCAGGGATACCGCAAATAAGCTTTCGTAATCTTCTTTATGAAATGGAAGCAGATTCTTGAGACCTTTAACTCTCCATGTTCTCTTAAACGGCATGATTCTTTGAGTATCGTCCTAACTTGTCCACACTGAGATTTCCGCTCACAGGGAAGATTGTCTTCGTTATTGGAGCTTGCTGACTTATCAATCTAATTTTGTGATTAATCATGCCTGAAATCTGTTTGCCTGTGGCCTTTTACAACCAAAGACAAAATGAGAAGACTCGTTACTAACAAATCAAGGATATCTTTGGTAACTAACGAAAGTCACTGCCCTCAATACACGCCCCCTGAGTGATAAATATAGGATTTGAAATACTAATCAGATAAACGGAAGTACCGCTACAGCAGAGGGAATGGTTTTGGGAAAGGATAGAGTGATTTTGTTAAGGGAATTGGGACAAATAATACTTCTCTTCCCATCATGAAGAGCGTCCGCTTCACCTCCTCCTCCCCCCAAATGTCTTCTAAATGGCTCGTAAAATTAAAGAAAGCAAATGTTGTCTACGAATTCGAATTAACGTCCAAATTCTTTAACCAATATCCATTAAGTACAGTATGCATGTAGTTATTTTAGTGAAACCTGATTGGTAACTTGAAAGGATATCTTCGACTTATTTTACTAAAACAGTGGAAATAACCAAAGTAAAAGAATTACAAAGAATGAAAATACAGTGCTTGAATTAACCTATTACTGAGTAAACCATATCGATTCTATTTCTCCTAACCACAGACGGTGACCATCAAAATAATGTTTGTAGAATTTGCAAGAATATATTGTAATGATCTGCTCAGAACTGGCTTGTATCTACAGGAAACTTCTTTGAATTCGGGATGTAGTTCGTCAACTAGCATTAAGTAAAAAATTATAGTGAGCAAAACTCTAACCTACGTCAATTGGATTTTAATTTCATTTATGAATCGAAATAAATATAAATTAAATATGAATGTCCCACAGTCAAAACCACAATATTTATATGATTTCGTACTTTTATCGAATTGTAAGAAGAAAATCCGCGTCGGTTACTGATAACATATTAATTTCATCATATAAAGCTTATGAAAGAAAAGAATATACACAAAGAAATAAAAGAATGTAAATTTATGAAACAAATTAGGTGATTTTCAAAATCTGTACTTGAATATATTTATTATAATAGGGATATATTTATTTAGAACTGAGTACAAAGCACGCAAAGATTAACGAGCTTCCTGACCTGGAATGTGCCAAGCTAATTGAATGCAATAAAGTGTGTTCTGAGTAGGAAGTTTTTCTAGAAACTAGTCAAAAGCGACAGCAAATTAAATGAGCATGCGAATTCTGTTCCATGCTAGCTCTTACATTCTAATTTCTTTTATCAAAATTGATCCCACTACTCCTAATAGGAGTTGGGCAGGGGATGTGTAATAGTGAAAATACTTGAGATTTCCTTTATCTGGATTCCGGACAACAAACAAATGAAATTTATGCCCACGTTCTCCCTGAGTTCTTCTGAGTCTTCAACTCAATACGTCACAATAGCGTTTTTAGTAGAATGGAGAGCCGAATGGCGCCTTTAAAATTTGATGTTAAGAAAGCAAGTTTTTGCGACTTATTAGGTTAGACGGAGAATGTTTCTGATTATGGATTCATTTATTATCAATATCTTCGCCTACACGCATTTGAGCTTCTATTTCACAAATCGGATATATATGTTGTTTTAGGAAGCAAGTGTGTAGATTTCCCCACACAAACTTTAATGAGAATATTATTACTGCGAGACAAATTTAGGTACAAAAAATCGTTTAGGTTTTAATTTTTTACGAAATTTAAAGAAGATTTTTTTAATGTACTGTAATTTGGAAGCTATGCACTTTTATGATAAATTGACCAAATTATAGGTCGGGGACAGAGATAGTGGAAAAAATGCAATTCAATTGCCTATTCATTTGCTACAATTTAATCTTATTAATCATAGCAGCTAATATACCTTCGCCATTTCGTATAGTACCTACTACTACAAATATTAGCAGCAAGTAATGAAATCAATTTTTTTGAACAAAGTGTCTTGGCATATTTACGGTAGCATTCGAACCCATTGTGATTTCCGAAAAATTGCTTCATGCTTTGAAAAGCAATGCCAAATTGATGTGATATTTTTTCTAATGCATTGCACTGAAATGGATGAGAGGTTCTCCTAGTTCACACGTGCTATTTCCAGGTCATATGATACTTTTAGAGCTAGCAGACGCAACGATGATAATTTGTTTTTGAACATTAAGAGGCGGGCAATAGTTTATGGGAATATATGTAAAAGTTGTTTCCATTTTTGCGACAAATATTTTACCAGTATTAATTATAAAAGAGTTCTTAGGCATGGTAAACACCAAACGAATGCATTTTACCTTTTATGTAATGAAGAATGTAACTAATTACTAATCTATTGTTTCCTTCCACTCTCATCCCACCCCCCTCATCATCCCCATCCTCCATTTGACTTCAGTAAAAACCATACACTTTAGTACTTCAAATTGAATTTTGTGTTAATGTTGAATAAATATGTTAAATTAATTAACAATATTAGCGAGCTCTGTTAAACAGACGATTGGTTAATAACATTTCTGTTGTATGCAACATTCCAGTATTTATAACGCAAAGTTATTAAAAATATATTTACTTATTTATTAGGACGCTGAAAATAATGCCAAACTAACCTTGAAAGATTAATTAACTCAACTGCTATTACCTAAAAAAGTTGCGCCCTTTCTAAAACTAAGTAGAGTCAAAAAACCTATCTCGAATGAGAAGATCAAGGGGCCAGTAGGACCTCATGAAAATGTGGGGGTGGGGGGGGGGGGGGGGGAGAGTAGAGAAGCAGGACAAGGAAATTGGAAGGAAGATCGAGGTCAATCCGGGTTCTGAGAAACAGACAAGCTTTAGCGACAGAGGTATGAGTTAATAGGGGGACAGAGAAGAGCACTGAGTCAAAGTGGGCAGGTATTACAGACTTCCTCATGAGCTTGCTATATTTTCCTTACGAATAAACGAGTTTCCTAGTGCCAAACAGAAATAAGCCACCTTAAACAAGTAAGAAGTCTGACCACTAAGATAGATCACGGTTATATTGAATAACCCCATAGGACTGAGAAAGGTATAAAAATAGTAGAAATTAGGAGTTCGGCCCATTAGAGCTTAGTCTTGCTGAACCCACACTCTCCTTATTTACTTTTATCCCCCCTCCAACAAACACTTTGGGGGCGAGAGGCTGTAAGTTGTGGAGTTTAATTAAGAGAGGTAGTTCAAGGGAGTAAGAGGGGTTGGCAATTGTGGAGATAAGTAGTAAGGGCTGGTTCTAATGAATATAGACAT